TCCCAACTTTTTTGGGATTTGTTGACACTGTGAAATTTTGAATCAACATATTTTTCCTTTAAAATGTTACATTTTCTCAGATTAAACTTTTGATCTGTCATATATGTTATATTACGAATAAAATATTGACATTTGCCATCTCCACATCATTGCATTCAGTTTTTATTCACAATTTGTTTAGTGTCCCAACTTTTTTGGAATCCAGTTTGTATATAATTGTGTGTGTGATGTGCTAAATTTGCTGCCACTCTTGTGAAATATTTCTTAATCTTTTGTTTACATTAATTTTACCTAAAGATATAATTGTAAATTGAGTGTGAACCTAAATTTAAACAAGCAAACTAGCTCCACATTTTGCATGATGAGACTGGTCACAATGAGTTTATGTCACGGTCAGCGGCCCCCGCTGCCCCCCCATCTGCCAAGCCTCTGCCACCTCCTTCAAGCTGCAACCAGAAACCAACATTTATATCTTCAAACTATCATCCCACAGTCTTAATCATTTCCTTCTATTTCAAGTTTCTGTCTCTGTCTGCTTTTTATATTTTTTATTGTTCTGCTTTGTGTGTGATTTTCTGTTTATCTGTTTCTGTTATGTTCCTCTCATTCCTCAGTCTGCTTCTCCACTCAGTCTTTATCATTCACACCTGTCCCTCATCAGCCACTTGCCCAGGTGCTCTCGTTACTAACTCTCCCTCTGTCACATAAAAAGCCTTTCTTTCCTTCACTCCTTGTCCGGTGATTGTTCTATGTTCTCTGACTTCACAATCCTCTTCTGCCTTGCCTGGTTTCTGCCCCCCTGATGATCTGCTCTGCATTATTTCTGATCCAATCTGCCAAAAGTAAGTTTTGCTGCACCGACAGCCTTTTGTTTTGTTGTTAAAAAAATAAATTGTTTTGGTTTTTGAACTCCTGCCTCACTCATCTCTCTGCAATTGGGTTCCAACATTGAGGTTCGTGACAGTTTATTTAGTATGACTGAAAAGAAAAATTTAGTAGTTGGCAAAAATCACCGAAATGCTTTATACTAACAAAAATATAATAGGTTAAAAATGTTAAGTGTGTACATTAGTATCTATTGTATCCTTTTATTGTTGTTTTTATAAAGCTGTTTGAGTAAGAAATTTGTTTGTATTGCTGTTAATTGGATCTAATACATGCATGTATGTGCGTGAGCACAGGGCTTCAGGAGTGATGATATGCGGGCGTGGCGTCAGCACTGGAACCATCAGCTCTACAAAACCCTCGAACTCCAGTATCAGACTGGACTAGAAGCTCTAAATAAGAACT